AAATCATGTTATAACAGTATGTGTTTTTGCTGATCGCCCCAGATGTTAACCCCTTCCTTACCAGTGTCATTAGAACAGTGTCAGTGCTTTTTATTAGCACTGATTTCCAGGGGCGGACTGACCATTTGGAAACTCGGGCACTGCCCGAGGGCCCGGGGTCAGTAGGGGGCCCCATGAGATGCCCCTGGTACCTTTTTCATAGGCTTTTTTGAGTTTGGGCAAGGACACAGGGGCCCCATGATCCCCTATTGCCCGGAGGCCCCATGAGTTGTCAGTCCACCCCTGCTGATTACTATATTGGTGTCACTGTGGATGTCAGTGACAGTTAGTCAGTTCTCCCCCAGTGTCAAAATGCCCACTGCAGTCCCACAGTCCCGCTATAAGTCACTGATCGCCGCCATTGCTAATGTAACAAAAAATAATTCCAGTATCTATACCACCATTTAAAAACGTTATAACTTTCACGTAAACCAAATAATTTAAACGAAATTTGATTTTTACATTTTTTTTTAACTGGCAAAATTGTTGGACTTTTTTTTTATAGTGCAAAAAATAAAAAATGCACAGGAGATCAAATACCACCAAAAGAAAGCTTGATTTGTGGGAAAAAAGACATACATTTGATTTGGGTGCAGCATTGCATGACCGTGCAATTGTCAGTTAAAGTAACGCAGCGCAGTGTTACAAAATATGGCCTGGTCAGGAAGGGGGGTAAATCCTCTGGAGGGCAAGTGGTTAAAGAATGCAACCACAGGGCACATAAATGTTAGAATCCTGAATCTCTTATAACATAGTTATTATTATTATTATTATTATTATTATTATACAGTATTTATAAAGCGCCAATAGTTGGCTCAGCGCTGTACATTACAAAGGGGGACAGAACATGTGACAGAACAATACCAATACAATGCAAAACATGAGGGGATCGAGGGCCCTGCTCTTTCGAGCTTACAATCTAGGAGGGAGGGGATGGTGGCACAGGAGGAGATAGCTGTGGGGGATGGAGTGGTAGGAAGAGTGGAGGAGGTCGGCAAGTTAGCAGGGGGTGGGGTAGGCTTCCCTGAAGAGATGGGTTTTCAGGGTGCGCCTAAAGGAGAGGAGAGTAGGTGATAATCTGATGGGTTGGGGCAGGGAGTTCCAGAGGATGGGTGACACCCTGGAGAAGTCCTGGAGGCGGGCATGGGGAGGAGGAGACCAGGGAACTAGAGAGAAGGAGGTCTTGTGAGGAGCGGAGTGTGTGCGTGTTGGGCGGTACTTGGATATTAGGTCAGTGATGTAGTTCGGGGCAGTATGGTGGACAGCTTTGTACGTCAGTGTTAGGATTTTGAATTTGATCCATTGTGCAATCGGAAGCCAGTGGAGGGATTGGCAGAGGGGGGGTGGCGGAGACAGAGCGGTTGGAAAGGTGAATGAGTCTGGCAGCCGTATTCAGGATCGACTGAAGCGGGGATAGCCAGCGGCGAGGCAGGCCAGTGAGGAGGGAGTTGCAGTAGTCCTGTCGTGATATGATGAGGGAGTGGATGAGCTGTTTAGTGGTTTCTGGGGTTAGGAACGTGCGGATTTTGGCGATGTTGCGGAGGTGGAGTCTGCATGTTGCGGAGGTGGAGTCTGCACGAGTTTGTTAAAGATTGGACTTGGGGCTGGAAGGATAGGTTGGAGAATGACACCAAGTACTCTGGCCTGCAGGGCGGGTTTGATGGTAGCGTTGTTGGATGTGACGGAGAAATCAATGGGGGGTGGTGTCTGGGCTGGGGGGAAGACAAGAAACTCGGTTTTGGAGAGGTTCAGTATAAGGAAGTGGAGTGACATCCAGTCTGATATGTCGCTCAGTAGGTGTGTGATTCGGGCTGAGACCAAGGGGGTGAGGTGGGGGGTTGAGAGATAGATTTGTGTGTCGTCGGCATAGAGGTGGTAGTTGAAGCCGTGAGAGTGTATGAGTTGGCCAAGGGAGGAGGTATAGATGGAGAAGAGAAGGGGCCCAAGGACAGAGCCTTGAGGGACCCCAACAGAGAGGGGGGGAGTGAGGGGGAGGTGGTAGCATTATAGGTAACGCTGAAGGAGCGTTTGTGACAGGTAGGATGAGAGCCAGGAGAGAGCAGAATCTCTGAGGAAGAGGGAGTGTAGTTTTCTGAGGAGGAGGGGGTGGTCGACTGTGTCGAAGGCCACGGAGAGGTCAAAGAGTAGGAGCACTGAATAGTGGCCATTAGCTTTGGCGGTTAGCAGGTTGTTGGAGAGTTTGAGTAAGGCGGTTTCGGTGGAGTGTAGGGGACGGAAGCCAGACTGTAGGGGATCGAGGAGGTTGTTGTCGTTGAGGTGAGAGCATAGGTGGGTGTAGACTAGGCGCTCGAGGAGTTTAGATGTAAATGGGAGCAGGGAGATGGGTCTGAGGTTGTTCGGGTCATTGGGGTCCAGGGAGGGTTTTTTAAGTATGGGGGTGATGTGTGCATGTTTCAGAGGGGAGGGGAAAGTGCCTGAGGAGAGGGAGAGATTGAAGATGTGGGTGAGGGAGCGTAGGATGGAGGAGGAGGAAGGTCGTAGGAGTTGTGAGGGGATAGGGTCGAGGGGGCAGGTGGTGAGGTGGGCATCAGAGAGGATCTTGGAGACTTCCTCGATGGTAGTAAGGTCAAAGGTGCGGAGTGTGGGGGGAGCTTCAGTATGAGGAATGTAGGGTGGGGTGGAAGAGGAGGTCAGAGCAGTGGTGGGGCCGTGGGAGAGGGGTGATGAGGGGGTAGCTGAGTGAGGGTGAAGGGGGTTGGAGAGAGTTTGAGCAGCGACGAAGTCCCTGCGGGTTATGTCGAGGGGGAGGGGGGATAAGGGGGTAGCTATGTGAGAGGGGACGGTTTGAGAGGGTGTGTGTGAGTTGCGGCGATGTCCTTGCGAATTGTGTCAATCTTGTTTTTGAAGTGATTGGCAATCTCAAGGGCAGGGAGTGAGGTGCTGGGTGGAGGTGGGGGTGGAGAGAGAGTAGAGAGTTGAAGGCAGAGAAGAGTCGGCGAGGATTGGAGGAGAGGGCCCTTGATGAGGGTCAAGAAGTAGGCCTGTTTGGCAGCATGGAGGGAGGAGGTGTAGGTGTGGAAGGCAGATTTGTAGCAGGTGAAGGCTTGTTGGGATTTGGTTTTGCGCCATAGTCGCTCCAGGGCACGACTTTGTCGTTTGAGGGTTTTGGTGTGATCAGTCTGCCAGGGCTGAAGCGGTCGGGGTCTGATGTTGCGTGTGGTTAAAGGCGCTAGTGAGTCAAGGGCTGTTGAGAGCGCATTGTTGTAGGCGGTCAAAGCCAAGTCGGGGCAGGACAGGGGGAGGATGCGTCGTGGAGTTGATCAGCTGCAGAGTGGAGGGAGGCAGGGTTAAGGTTGCGGAGGTTACGGCTGGTAGTAGTGTGACATTTGGAGGGGTAGGCGTTGGAGGACGAGGAGATAGAGAAGGTGATCAGGTTGTGGTCAGAGAGAGGGAAGGGGGTGTTAGTGAGGTTGTGGGGAGCGCAGCGGTTGGAGAAGACAAGGTCCAGGATATTTCCGTCGGAGTGGGTGGTGGATTGTATGCACTGTGCAAGTGCAAAGGAGGAGGTTAGGTGGAGGAGACGGGCTGTGTCTGGGTTGTCGAGGTTGACAGGGATGTTGAAATCCCCAAGGATGATGGTGGGTAGCTCAGAGGAGAGGAAGAAGGGTAGCCAGGAGGAGAAGTCATCCAGGAAGCAGGGTATGGATCCAGGAGGCCGGTATATCACAGCAATCTTCAGGGGGGTTGGGGAGAATAGTCAGACGCAGTGGGCCTCGAAGGAAGAAGAAGGATAGGGAGGGGGGGGTTTGGGAGGACTCGGAAGGTGCTCTGCGGTGACAGGAGCACATAGTTCCCACTCTTCTTCTATTGTTGTTTAAACTGGAAATGGTAATTCTTGTACCTATTTTTCTTCTTCTAGATCTCATCATTTTTCATATTTTCTCTTTTTTAAGGTCAAGATAGTTAAAGAAGCTCAATAGACAGGACTCGAGCAGTGACACCCAACGAATTAACACCAATGCTTACAGAAAAAAACAGTAATTGGATCTGTGTGGGTCAGATATGTGGAGATGTAAAGGATAAGCTCCTTAACATTTCTCATCCCATTATTTAGCACAGAATCACAGAGGAGAGAAAAAGAGTGTAAGTTCATCTTCAGCAAGATTTTCCCTAAAGCTCCGTATGCGATTTCATATCCTGTGAATTGTAAATACTGGAGTTTCAGCTGTTGTAATGGTGCAGACCATCCCATTAAATGTAACTTTTTGGGGGACCTTTCCACAAAACACTTTGGCCCCTTGATCCCCGTCTGCCCTGGTGTTTGGAGGAGCTTTGGCATGTTCTATTCACAGGATATGGAATTGCATAGGGGGATTTAGGGAAAAACTTCCTGAAGATGAACTTACACTTTAAAGTGTATCCATATCCATTTTTATTTTTGTTTTGGATAGATGAAAGGAAGAGTAAGAACTCCTGTAAGATATTTGTTGCTAATTTCTGAAGGAGGTCAACAATGGGAGCCGTATTTCCCTTTTGTGTTTGCCAAATGCTCTAGGGCAGTGGTGGGCAACTTTTTTTTCAACTGAGCCAAATCTTGCCAAAACCACGATTGAAATTTATTTTGAGAGCCACATTTTTAAAACTGAAAATACATCCCCCATATAGTAATTCATCCCCCATAGTAATTCATCCCCCATAGTAATTCATCCCCCATATAGTAATTCATCCCCCATAGTAATTCATCCCCCCTAGAGTAATTTTCATCCCCCATATAGTAATTCATCCCCCATATAGTAATTAATCCCCATAGTAATTCATCCCCCATATAGTAATTCATCCCCCCTATAGTAATTCATCCCCCATAGTAATTCATCCCCCATATAGTAATTCATCCCCCATAGTAATTCATCCCCCCTATAGTAATTCATCCCCCATATAGTAATTCATCCCCCATATAGTAATTCATCCCCCATATAGTAATTCATCCCCCCTATAGTAATTCATCCCCCCATATAGTAATTCATCCCCCATATAGTAATTCATCCCCCATAGTAATTCATCCCCCATATAGTAATTCATCCCCCATATAGTAATTCATCCCCCATAGTAATTCATCCCCCATATAGTAATTCATCCCCCATAAAGTAATTCATCCCCATAGTAATTCATCCCCCATATAGTAATTCATCCCCCATAGTAATTCATCCCCCTTATAGTAATTCATCCCCCATATAGTAATTCATCCCCCATAGTAATTCATCCCCCATATAGTAATTCATCCCCCATATAGTAATTCATCCCCCATATAGTAATTCATCCCCCATATAGTAATTCATCCCCCATATAGTAATTCATCCCCCATAGTAATTCATCCCCCATATAGTAATTCATCCCCCATAGTAATTCATCCCCCATATAGTAATTCATCCCCCATATAGTAATTCATCCCCCATAGTAATTCATCCCCCATATAGTAATTCATCCCCCCATAGTAATTCATCCCCCATAGTAATTCATCCCCCATATAGTAATTCATCCCCCATAGTAATTCATCCCCCATAGTAATTCAGTGCCGACCACTGCTCTAGGAACTTAAAGCAACCAAAAATGTTAGAAGAAGCAGTTAAGAAAGGCAATAAATACTCACCATTCCTGGTGCCTGGGAACAGGGGCGGACTGACAACTCATGGGGCCCCGGGCAATAGGGGATCATGGGGCCCCTGTGTCCTTGCCCAAACTAAAAAAAGCCAATGAAAAAGGTACCAAGGGCATCTCATGGGGCCCCCTACTGACCCCAGGCCCTCGGCAGTGCCCGAGTTTCCAAATGGTCAGTCCGCCCCTGCCTGGGAATCAAAACTACACAAAGATCACTAGAACTGGTCCCCCCAAGTCTGCTGGGAAACCAGCACTGGGCCCTCCCTCTGACCTCATGACACTTCAGGAGTGAGTGGTGACATGTGGTCAGAGGAAGGAACCAGTGAGATCTGTGGAGGACTCAGAAGATGGACACTTCAGGACATGTAATTTTCACAAATGATTTCAGGGGAACCAGTTTTAGTGACCATACTGGAGTTCAGGCACCAAGTATACGCAGAACTGTTTATTTATATTGATCTTTTGCAGTGGAGACTGTAGAGAAGCACTCATTGTAAAAAGCTGGAAAGATATTTATTACCTCAAATTATTGCATGCTAATGAGTAATTTATAAATTTAATAGCAATATTCTATTGATTGAGAATATGGCTGGCTAATGAAGTGTATCTAAAACTTTTGGTTTCTGAATATGACGTTTAAAGTTTAGTTTACTTTTTTGAAAAAAAAAAAAGTTTAGTTAGTTCTGTTCAAAAGTTCCATTTGATCTTGCAAGAAATTGTATAAGCTGATGACTACCTGTGCTGACAATATTTCTTATATTGTTCTCAGGTATCTCGGAGGAAATGAAAACACATCCCTTTTAGAGATGAGCGAATCGAACTTGGCGAAGTGGAATTCGTTTCGAATATTAGGAAAAATTCGATTCGCACCGAATCCGAATTTTAGCAAACTTCGGATGCACGAATCGAATTTTCCCCTATCAGCCGGCAAAAAGTGTCACTGCAGAGAGCTCCGCTATTTCTGACAGTTCTCTGACAGTTCCTTCACATTTACAGCGGTTGAAACATTGTATCTATTTGTTTCCATTTAGGATACAGATGTTTTTATTCGGAAATAAATAGATACAATGTTTCAACCGCTGTAAATGTGAAGGAACTGTCAGAGAACTGTCAGAAATAGCGGAGCTCTCTGCAGATACACTTTTTGCTGTACTGGAATTCTTCTTCTTTTCATTCTTCTTCTTCTTTTCATTCTTCTTCTTCTTCTTCTTCTTCTTCTTCTTTTCATTCCTCTTTTTCATTCTTCTTCTTCTTCTTTTCATTCTTCTTCTCATTCTTCTTTTCATTCTTCTTCTTCTTTTCATTCTTCTTCTTCTTTTCATTCTTCTTTTCATTCTTCTTCTTCTTCTTTTCATTCTTCTTCTTCTTCTTTTCATTCTTCTTCTTCTTCTTTTCATTCTTCTTTTCATTCTTCTTCTTCTTCTTTTCATTCTTCTTTTCATTCTTCTTCTTCTTCTTTTCATTCTTCTTTTCATTCTTCTTCTTCTTCTTTTCATTCTTCTTTTTCTTCTTTTCATTCTTCTTTTCATTCTTCTCATTCTTCTTTTCATTCTTATTCTCATCTTCTTTTCATTCTTCTTCTTCTTCTTCTTTTCATTCTTCTTCTTTTCATTCTTCTTTTCATTCTTCTCATTCTTCGTTTCATTCTTCTTCTCATTCTTCTTTTCATTCTTCTTCTTCTTCTTCTTCTTTTCATTCTTCTTCTTCTTCTTTTCATTCTTCCTCTTCTTCTTTTCATTCTTCTTTTCATTCTTCTTCTTCTTTCTTCTTTTCATTCTTCTTCTTCTTCTTTTCATTCTTCTTTTCATTCTTCTTCTTCTTCTTTCTTCGTCGTGCCCCGTCACTGCCCAAATGAGTGAAGTGTGCGGTGATTCTAAGATCGACGGCACTCATCTGCATGTCATACTGACTGACAGTATTATTTCTCTTCCCCAGCAGACTCCAAGGGCATTTAAATTAAAGGTACAGTGTTCTGCACTAATATAAAGGCTCTCTGAAGCCTAGAAACCCTTTTAATAAGTTAAATTCGCAGCGAATAAATTCGCATCGAATTGAATTTATTCCGTGAATTCGCCGAATCAGCCGAATCGAATTTTTGAATAATTCGCTCATCTCTAATCCCTTTACTGTATGTTATGCAGAACAGTAGGGGGGCACGGTTCTGTAGTCCTATCTTGTTTCTGTTGTGTTAATACAGTATAATGAATTAGTTTTGTCATGCAGGGACTAAAACGATGTACCTGCAGATTCACCAGGTATAAATAAATAAATAAACTTAAAAAAATCTATTGTAGGCACCTCCTCTAAGGATTAAAAAGCTGCAATATATTACTTTTTGGGGGATGACATACACTGTATAGAGGTAAAAATCCTTTTTCACACACTTGAACATCTGATTCTTAATGCATAGTATTGTATGTTTATATCTAAATAAATGTTATGTCTGCACATGAAAAAGAGATGAAAAAAAAAAAGAACAGTGGGGTTTATTTACTAAAGCTGGTGCACTTTTGCATAGAAACCAATCAGCTTCCAGGTTTTATTGCTAACGCTTAACCACTCGCCCTCCTGAGGATTTACCCCGCTTAATGACCACGCCTCTTTTTGCTACTCGGCGCTGCACTAATTCAACTGATAATTGCGCGGTCATGCAATGCTGCACCCAAACAAAATTTACGTCTTTTTTTTCACACACAAATAGAGCTTTCTCTCGGTGGTATTTGATCATCTGTGCGCTTTTTATTTTTCACGCTATAAACAAAAAAAGGCCAAAAAGTTTGAAGAAAAACAATATTTTTTACTTTCAGCTATAAAAAATATATAGTAAACTCAAAGTTGGTTATAAATTTAGGCCAAAATGTATTCTGCTCCATGTTTTTGGTAAAAAAAATCCCAATAAGTGTATATTGATTGCTTTGTGTGAAGTTATAGCGTCTACAATCTATGGTATAGATACTGCAATTTACGCCATTTTTCTGCTATACAGCGCCGCACTAGTTTAAACGGACAATTGCGCGGTCATGCAATACGGTACATAAATGAAATTTACATCCTTTTTTTCCCCACAAATTGAGCTTTCTTTCGGTGGTATTTGATCGCCTGTGCGGTTTTTATTTTTTTGCACTATAAAAAAAAAAGGCTGACTATTTTGAGGAAAAAAAAACAATATTTTGGACTTTTTGCTATAAAACATGTCCAGTAAAAAAAAATGCAAAAATCAAATTTTGTCATAAATTTCTGCCAAAATGCATTCTGCGACATGTCTTTGCTAGAAAAAACCCCAATACGTGTAAATTAATTGGTTTACGTGAAAGTTATAGCATTTACAAATGGCGGGAAAGATACTGGGATTTTTAGTTTTTTTTTATACTAATAATGGCGGCGATCAGTGACTTATGGCGGGACTGCGGCGGACATTCTGACACTGGGGGGTACTGACTTGGGGTCACTGACATCCCCAAAAACACTAATACAGTGATCAGTGCAAAAAAAAAACCACTGACACTGTACTAATGGCAATGGGGAGGAAGGGGTTAACTTTATTTTGCAGGGAAGGGTTATAGGAGTGAGGGGAGTGTTTTACTAGGGGTCGGAGTGTGTGCTGGACGGGACACCGCTGATCGAGAGAGAGAAACTCTTCTTTCTCGATCAGCTCGTCCTTGAGCTGTCAGGGAAGTGACAGATAGCACAGCT